AGAGTCAGACCGTAGTCTCAGTCCCCCACCGCCAAGTACACCCAACACCTCAGCACACAAAACAACTCTTGGAATCGGCCTCATTGGCCAAAAGAGGAAGGAAGGAGCTCTCAGGATTTGAATCCCTCCACCCTCTCCCTCTCCCACCCTCTCCTTTTTAAAACTATTTGCAGGACAAGGACAAGGACAAAACCCATTTGTCCCACCCACTATGCTTTTCTCCACATCAAAGGCTTTCTTGCCTTCAGTGATGAGGGACACAGAATTGCGCAGGGAAACCACGGCTCGTGGCTCCTGCAGACTATGCTACGCGTCTCAAAGTCCCGAAGGCAAAGAAGGTCCCCAGTGGGCTGAGGCGAAGCAGGACTCAGGCTGGCCAGAGCTTGGAGGGGAGACCCACCTTGAATTCCGCCATGGGAGAAAGGTGCAACCGAAAAATAATAAACAAATAAGTAAATAAGTAAATACATAGAGATTAGATCAATACATTGATGGATTGATAGATAGTGGGGAGCCTATAACACTGCAATTTTTTTCCAGGACCAAGAGATGACTTTTGTTTCCCCCACTGGCATTTTAGCCTTCCTGTTTCTGTTGCTTTTAATCAATGCCAGGCTTTCCAATCTCTGCAGTACTGCTAAATTTTAATTGGATTTTTCATTCTGCTTTTATGCTGGAGTTAGAACATTCCCAATTCTACAATGGTATTTCTTGTTATTGGCTTGTTGTTGTTTGTTCTTACATTTGCATTCCAACAAATGCCAAGAGCAACACCTGTCCATAGCAGATTCGGGGCTTTGGGCTGCGCTATGGGCCGCCCAGAGCTCCTGAAATCGGGAGCTGGAGAGATGTAACACGCACACAAAGCATTGTCCAGCGCCAGCCCCACAGCCATGCAGTTGCTCGTTCCCCTCCAGACACGTGGGGCTGGGACTGCCAACTTGGGCCCTGCAATTCTACATTTCCCAAGAGTGGGAGAACAAGCAAGGAGCAGATCTTGACAAAGTCTCCAATCTGGGGCAAATTCTTCACAGATACACCATTTCGGGGAACCAGAGGGGGAATCAGCACTGGCTTATCTTGTACTGGCTGCCTCATGCGCACAGCACTGCATTCATCCAGAATGAGTACCTGCATTTCATGCCTTTTGGCACAGAAAATGCAAAGAACACAAAAGACGTGCCTCCCCAAATTCTTACAACTGCTGACATTCTAAGTAACAGGCAACCAACAGGAATGTGAGAGATATATTGGATGGTAAACAAAATATGACCTTCTTACGGCCTGTATAAGGCCTTCCAAGTGAATCAGCAGAGGATTCTCCCATGCATGGGAGTGCCAGCTCATCTTCTTCTGATGAGGTGATCCCGGCTGTTGAGGTGGGGCTTCAGCAGGACGACGTAGCATTTGGGGAGGAAGATGCAGCCCAGCAGGCCAGCCCACGAGGCCAGGATGGAGAACACCTCCACGGCCACCATGGCCTTGCCCTTGGTGCTCAGGTAGGTGGGCACGAAGGACACCCACACGCTGCAGAAGACCAGCATGCTGAAGGCAATGAACCTGGCTTCGTTGAAGCTGTCGGGCAACTTCCTCGCCAGGAAAGCCCCGACGAAGCTGACAGCAGCCGGGAAGCCCATGTAACCCAGCACAGCGTGAAACATGGCAGCTGTGCCTTCGTCACATTCCAGGATCATCTCTCCCGCCAAGGAGTGAAAGTCCACACTGGGGAAAGGGGGGAAAGTGGCTAGCCAGCCAACACAGAGGGCGGCCTGGAGTAGGGGGCACAACAACATGATAGAGCAGGGCAGTGGCTCCCCCATGAGTCTCCCGGCCATGTGTCCCGGCTTGGTAGCCATGAATGCCAGAACCACCGTCACCGTTTTGGCCAAAATGGAAGAAACGGCAATGGAGAAGGTGATGCTGAAAGCAGTTTGACGCAGGAGGCAGGTGAGCTCATGGGGTTGTCCGACGAATAGAAAGAAGCAGAGTAGGAGAGAGGTGAGGAGAACGTAGGTGAGGCCCCAGTTGTTGGCTTTGACAATGGGTGTGTGGCGCTGTTGGATGAAGATTGCCAGGACTAGAACCATGAGCAGAGTGAGCCAAAGAGCCAGGGATGCCAAGTCTGTCCCCAGGGTCTCCTGAAAGGAGAGGAAGTGGACCATCTTCGGGACACACTGGTCCTTATTCTGGTTTGGGTGTTGATCTGCTGGACATGCCACACAGCGATTGGCATCTGAAATGAGCAAAAACTGGAGAAACATCACCCAAAATCACAGGATCCCTTCTGTGGGTGGACCCTTAAACCCACATTCAATGAAAAGAACAAATTTAGATACGTCATTGTTTGAATGTTGCTTTGGCAAGCAATGCATCCATTCTGCTCTCCAGGCTGAGAACAAAGGGGGGCTCCTCTTGCTGTACATTTTACAAAATTCAGTCCTTTGACTTTCCCTTCCTGGGAGACTGGATGGAGGGCAAAGCAGCATCAGTGAAGGAAACAATTTTGTGTTCACAGCAAAAGCAGCCCTTCTCTACACAATGAAGTGCAAGGCAACTTTGGCCATTTGTCTCTGAGGCCGTTCCTAACGTGCTGAGAAGCAGAAGGCCTAGGAGCACCTCCAAGGTGCATTCCTGGCAGTCCCACACATGAAATGTTCTGAACATCACCTATTAAGATGGAGCTCCTCCTAGCCCTCCTTCCAGGGGAACCATTAAACCCCAATGCCACATTCACTTCCCAAAACTCAGGAGCTTCCTGTCAACAGAAAGAAACAAACCCAGCCCCCCATCCACCATCTGCTCCTGCCCTTCCAGGCCTTATCCCGCCCTGTCACCCACTGCATGATTGAGCCACGAGCTGCAGCTACCTGTGTGGTTCGAGAAGGTCCCCTCCTGACAAGCGAGGCATTCGGAGCAGCACACCGGCCTCCCGGCTGCAACCCTCTTCCACTGCCCTGGGAAGCACCACTCGGTACACCTTGCAGTGGGTGGCTTCTGAAAGGGAAGGGAGAACAATTGGGGGAGCCCAGGTGGTGGTCGTGGTGCTCCAGGGGCCTTGGAGTGACCAGCGGGGAATCCCATTGCACAGTGAAGGAAGGCACTGCTTCAGGGGCGCTGACTCTGCTGCTCTGCTGCACATTGAACAACAGAGGTGCTGAGAAAGACGAGAGGCTCTGGGGCTGCCTCCCAGCAAGCCCTGCCACTGCAGCTTCTCTCCTCCCATGAGCAGCCACTTAGAGGATTTCAGACCAGGGGGTCCTTCCTGCACAGCCAGAAAATGAGCCCAGGATCTCTGCAAGAAAGCTATGGAGATGCCACCCTCTTTCTCCTTTTCTTTGTTGCAGCCTTTGTAGAGGCTTGATGGATACACGTATGGGGAAAGCGTATGCAGCAAACCACTGAATAAATGCATGCCAAACTGTTCTGGAAGTGTGCAGCGCAGCCACGGTAATTCAAAATGATTTTAAAAGAGGTAATATATATCCATGTGGCTAAACCAGGAAGCTTCAGAGGCACAGTCTTACGGGTGCTACACAACGGGCAGCCCAGCACGACAAGCCAGAAGGGTCTCAGAGGAGGAAGAAGGACATTCCCCCCTCTGTGTTATACCTAAGATTTTGCGCCGGGTAGGGAAGGACCTGATGGATCGATTGGTACCTGGACATGAATGCGGAGGCATTTAAGAGGGTGCCAAGTGGATTTGATATGCTCGGATGCCCAGCTCTGCTAAATTCCTTACGCACACGCTTTTGTACCCACTGATGCTCCCAAACCATCTTCACAGGCTGTGGGGAGGCAGCAGGTGAAGCACAGGTGTGCAAAAGCAGGTGAAGTCACTGGGTTGAGATGCAACACAGAGCATCTGGGCCGCGGACCTGAATTCCACCTTGTGCTCCTGCATGATATGTGCTGGGGCAGATGGCCCCCAGAATTTTTGGACTCCAGATGACAGGTTTGGGACCCAAGAACCAGCAGTGGGAGCTCTAACATAGCCTCTGGACTCCGCTTGCCCAGAGCTGAGGCATTGCTGAGCTTCCCCACATCCTCGGGATGTTCCCCCAACCCACCTCTGTGGCCCACACAATCGCTTCCGAACGGATGCTGAAGTCCTGGCCTGGAAGGGCCCTGGCATCCATCCATCCCACTCGCGCAGGATCTAAAGTGCCATTTGGGGAAAAGAGCCAGTTCAGGATGTCTTATCTCTGGACATTCTCACTGAAGCAGACTTCCTCCCCAGCACAGTTGTTGAACAGGACATTCCGCAGGGAGGCAAGGATCTGCAAGGAAAGGGATGCTGAGCCTGGCCTTGACTGCAGGCAGGTCCTGCTCTCCTCAAATGTCCTCTGGCAGCCACCAAGGAAGAAAATCATACCTGCCTACGCTGTCTTCTGCTCTTTCACTGACTGTAGATACAGATCATCTCAGAATTCCCCCTTCAATCCCACTGGGTCCAGCAGGCCTTCTCTAGCTCACCCTTCTGGACTCAGCCATCCAACTAGGAACCCACCCACTCTCACCTCTGCAAGCCCTCACCTCGGGAGCATGAGAAAGCCCTGGTATCAAAACCTCTGAGAGATCCAGCAACGGCAGCTGAGTCACATTTCCCATCTCTCTCCTGGCAGAATTCAAGAAAGGGTTGAATGCAATGGAGGCAATGGAAGCAATGGAGGAGTCTCCTCCACAGAGCATGTACATGTTTGGAAAATTAACAGGAAAAGCTCAAAGGGGAGGTCTAGACTACCAGCATCGAGCACTTCTGACCCCCAGCACAGTTGATTCCTGGCAGGTCCACCAACAGAAAAGCGTACCGGCTGCCTGTATATTTTTCAGCCTTTCTTATTCAAAGAGTCCTCTGACTGGTGTTGGTATGGGAGCTCTCAGGCAGTGCCTTGGTGTGCCAGGAAGTCTCAGTGGCACCCACAGTCCCACGTAGAGAACCTCTGACATACATGATTCTCTACTCACGGCCTCATCCCTCCTTAGGGAAAGGATCCAAAAAGTAAAATTAAAAGGAGTTGATGAAGAATGACTTTCTTAGTATTCATGGAATTTTCCCAGTATCACTCTTGGCTTCCCACTTTCGACAATGCAATAAGCATATGCAAAGCCCATTCTACAGCATGGACAAAGCTGCAGGGAGCATTACCTGCCATGGCTCAGCACTCACAATAATTGTTCTCCCCTCTGCGTCACTCTGTTGCGATCCAGACAACAATATGGCACGCAGGGCATGTGCCACGGAATACACGGCATTGTAGACGCTCTAGCTCTGCGGGCTCATGCTCCTCTTGAACGTCAAGGATGGTGGGTCCTGGATCTTCTCCCCAGTGCACCTTACCTTCCCCCTTGAGGTAGCTTGTCCTGCCTTCAGAAATTTACACCCAAAGGCTGCTTCCCACCAATGGCGGAGAAAGAGGTCCCCCGCAGGCTGGAGGGGGTCGAAAGCCAAGAGGAAGCGTTGGAATCCCGGCACATCCCTTCTGTGCTCCCGGAAATGCAGAGTGCCATGGAAGGGTTGGAGTCCTTGCCAACCGAACTGGGACCCTGGTGCAGCAATGTCAAAATGGGATGTCAAGATCCAAACCATCCTTAAGGAAGGCTTCAACATTTGGACATAAGCAAATAGGGATAGAACTGTTAAGTTCCCATAAAGAATCATCACGAGGAAATCAGGCCAAGAATCAGAAAGGTAAAGAGGGAGCTTTTTCAAAAAAGTTTTCAGCCCAGTAGTTTCTACCATTTCCGTGGAGGCCACACAGATGTTGTTCTGCTTGAGCATCGGTGTCAGGGTCTGGAGAAATTCTTCCCCAGCACTATCACTGGGAGCAGCCAGCCCAACCCAGTTCCACTGGAAATGCAGCAGCAGCCGGACTAAGCCCACGTACAGAGGGAATTCATCTGGGTTGATCCGGAACAAGGAAGGAAAGGCCCTTCTCTCTCTCTGTATACGGTCGAATGAGCCATAAACAAGCTGACAGAAGAAATTCAGAGAAGGGTTTATCCAGG